GGTTGGTTGATGAAGTGGTAGCTGGAGAAGAAGCAGTAGATAAAGGTCTATCATTGGCAATGGTATCGAGTTCTTCATGGCATAACCTGATAGTTCTTTCTCATATATAGTTAGGCCAAGGGCGTATTTTCTTAAGCCTCGGGTCCAATAATGTCGCCAAAAGACCTGCATTATTCAGATTTCCCCAATACTTCCAGAGGGAATTATAAATTTCTAACTTGACCTGTAAAATTAACGATTGAATATGGGGGGTTCTTGGTAACTGAGTACTGGCATCATCATTTTCGCTTTCACTATTATCGTCATCACTTTCGCTATAATTACTTGTATTAGACTCTAGAAAAAAAAAAAAATTAAACTGTTGGTTAACATATATATTACGTACGTGGTACAGTGCAAGAAATCCAAATATATAGAATAAAAATCAACTAGCGCATTAACGGCATATTTTAGGTTTTAACAGTATAAGTTGATAAATTATTTTCAATGTGCTACCGGTTTATGCGTTATCTCTATATAGAGAGATTGAGGTTTTTAAATTTCTTGCTCTGTACGTACATATGTATATACATATATATATATTAAGTGCGGCCATTGTATAATAATAACACTAGAACCAATTTAGCACTTTCATTTTTGATTACATAATATCAATATATGAACTTAAATAATACCGCATTCATCAATATCTGGTTCAATTCTAGATAAATCTGAATTAAATTCAGATTTCAAAACTTCAATAACCGGATACATAACAGATAAAGTTGGGTATTTTTCAGCACTAAATGCTTCGGTCACCTAATCAAATAGCTCAAAAATCTTTATTAGCTCTTCGACCAACTTCCATTCATCTTCACTAGGTAAGCAACATCTAAGTTTTTGACCATCTTTTCTTTCATCTAAATTTCGTGAAATATTCAAATTAGCTTCTAACCATATAATAGCATCCTTTAATTTTATTAGTCTTTTCCATGATCGATATTTCGAATTCCAACGCGTGGGACAATCTTTAACCAGCCGAAGGGCTTGGGAAGCTAAATTTACATTCGGTTGCTCTATTAAATTTCCGTTATCAACTTCACCGGGTTCTTCATCTTCACTATATACTTCAGTATCAATTGATTCAGAAATAAGTAAGTGATCTCTTTCTGCTACGGCAATTTGGGCTTTTTCTAGTTTTCATTTTGTTTTGGAGAATCAAAAAATTTAACAAGCTTTTTTATTTTTTTTTTACATGTGGGCGGATATTTCATAAGACAAAATTGATTGTCAATTGCAAAGTGCATGGAATTCGCTCAACAGAATTCTATTTTTGAATTGCCTTTACCATATTAGCCCTGTTATCAGTAACGGCATATGCAATTTTATCTTGAAGGTTAAATTGAATACATTTTTGATAATAAATTGGTAAATGGAATTACCTGTATGGGGATGTAGCATTTTCTCGCAGCAAATTGTTACACTATACAGTTTCCAATTAGGGGCTATCCAGTGACAAGTAATTCCTATATAACCTTTCTTATTTCGTGATGTCCATAAATCAGCTGTTATTGCAGCAGTTTTACAGGAAGATACAATTCATCTTGAACACTAATATTTTTTTGATAACTAAATGCTATTTCATTTTTTATTAAATGATTAGAGGGAGGACAAAATTTTGGGTCAATTACTTCTATCATTTGACAGAATCCTTTTTTTCGTGGTGCATTTAATGGCTAACTATCGAGAACAATCCATTCCATGACTGCTTTGCTATTTTCTGATTGTTTGGCATTTTTATGTGGAGCATTAACCTTGGTAATTTAGTTTGGCGTGCTTGTTGAATTTCGGCTTTCAATTTACTATCATCTACAATGTTGTGAACTGAACGCAGATGAGCAATTATGTTAGACATTAACCCATCGTGAGTATACCCCATTTCACACTTCTGCTCTTTTCCTTTTACTTTCATGACAACTTGACACACATCATCTGTATCAATTAACTTAAAGTGTTTCTATATGAAACTTCTTTTATGTTTAGATCAATTTTTTTTTTTAGGTACAGGTTTAAAGGTGGCATTAGGAGGATTGTTTCCATTATCATGACTTCGTTTTCTAAAACAACTTAAACTAGATTCTTCTTGGGAATCCTCTTGAGAATCCTCTTGAGAATTATCTTGAGGAGAATTGTGAAAATCCATTTTCTGATCAATAAAACAAAAAAAAAAAACGTATTTATTTAATGGCAAAAAACAATTCGTCAAACTTTATCAACGAATACACAATAAAAGGCTTTATTAGATAGTGTTTTAAGGTAAAGTAGGGGCTTATTTGAGTTATTTTAAACCCAAGAAAGAGATGATTTTATTAATTTGATTTTTCTGTTCTTTTATAATTTTACAATTTTTTGTCATATTTCATCTTATCTATGCTATCATATGGATTTCAAGAAATAGAATCAAGGAATCTCATTGAAATCGCGGCTTGGGCTTGTAAAAGGGGGAGGCTTAAATATAATTTTTCCTTATTAGCGAAATTTTTTGATGCCTTGCATTTTTTTTTTTTATCTGAATTCATGCTAATTGTTCTTCTGATTTCTTTTTAGCATGAATTCAAATGTTGTTTGGAATTCACTATGAATTTTTTATGGTTAATTACACAGCCTTTAATGTAGCCTTTCATTTTGTTAATATTAATTTCTGGACTTTGGCTTTTATAACTTGACTATTTTGGTTTAGTAATTCTGCGCAAGGCCAACATTGGGATCATGGGAAATATTCTCATGTGGGTCACAGCATCACCCGTAGGGATGTGAAAAGTTCATTCCGGTTTGACTCGACTCCAAGTCAGACTTGGGATCAAGTTCTAATAGTCTATGCATATTCCAATTTTAATGTACAATGAAACAATCAACTATGCATGCAAGAAAAGTTAGTGTATATTTTTTTACAATTACCGTATACACACATGGCATATAATATTGCATGTGATTATTAGGACTATTCTAACTTGGGACTGAATCTAAATTAAAACTCGACTTCGTTGGGTCAATCAGACCGTACAGGACTTTTCACATCCCTAATCACCCGCATACTAATTAACCTGTATACTTTTTATCAACATGCATGCTTATTATTGATTCCTTCCGAATATATTACCAATGAATTAATTTACGACTTTTCCTTTTTGGTATAATCAAGCATCTTAACTAAATTAGTATAGTAATTGTTGTATGAGTTAGTGTATGCTAACACAAGGGCTAACACGATAGTGTGAGGCCTTTATGTAATCTAGTATGTTCTTTTTATATTAAACGAAATGTATAAAGTGATGTAATTATTTTAATAAAGAAAAAATCCTGTTTTATTGTGAAGCATCAATAGTTATAATAAAGGTGAGTATTGCTTTACATTTTTGTAGTTCATAGCATTGTAGTTAGCCCGTTTGACACTTAACCTTCATAAATAGTAGTAATTGACAGCACTTACATAGATTCAGAATAAATTAATGTGCTAGTGTTACATTGTATAGAAAAACTTATAAACTTTAACAAGAAATTAATATTTATAATGCAGTAATGTTCTTTGTTTCTATAATTCGATTTGTGGAATATGATCTTAAAATTATCTTTTTTTTTTGGTATTAAAGTTACAGATCATAATTTGTTGGATTTTTATGTTACTATCCTTTGATCAGTTAATACTGTTTTTGTATTACTAATTTAAACACTCGTAGTGGTAAATACATCCCTTAGTAAAAGTATCATATAATTTTAAGGCACATGTGACTTTTCATAATCTGTTGTTTTATTCCATTTGATAAAATATTGAATTCACTATTTTTGTAATAGTACTTTATGTTATATAAAATACCGGTATTCTATAAATGTTAACTTTCTCATTACGATTTAAGTTCCATGATGATATCGTGCTATCTAATATAAATTAACCGGATTAACCGGTTAAGCATAATTTATTCCGGGATAGTATCAAGATAACGGTTTCCGGGTTGTCGGATCAACGGGTACAACCTCTATACTTCACTCTTCTGGTGAATTTATTATGATCCACTTATCTTAAAAATATCACTACAACTACCTGGGTATACTATGCAAACATCTTGACAGTCTAGCTTCACTTCACCCTCCACTAAGCAATTACAATACTTAATATCAGTGCTCGCCTATATGGATAACACTTTTTGAATAGCCCAATCTAAAAACAATCTAAAAAAAATAATAGAAACAGCTTTGTCATTTTACAACATAGCCAATATCCAAGTCAACTTCTCCAAATCTATTTTTATATTCAACCAAACAACAGCCAATATTTCATTCTTACAAACAAACCTAGTATCAACACCTTCTAATCAGCCTTTCAAGTTCCTAGAATGCTGGTTTACACTTAACAATAAACATACTAAACAGGTCAAACTAATTTAAGAAGAAGCTCTCAACCTGGTATATATAGCTAGCACCAAAAAGATAACAGACAAGCAAATAACTTACGTTATCAATACAGTCATAATTCCAACAGTAGAATACAGAATTCATAATATTGTTATCCTACAAACAATATGTCTTAAAATACTAGGCATATACCTTACTATTGCCAAGTACAAAGCCCATCTAGCCCAGTTAATCCCTAATAGCACAATGCTTAATTACAATATCTACAATATTTGCAATATTTGAAATATACAGCTTTAGCACCACACTAGCAACTTTCTACTTAGGATCAATAACAGCTCAACACTTGACACCACTACTCACATTAGGCTTCAACAACTTCAAAACAACCTCTGGTCAACTACTAGCATACTACAACACCCTCAGTCTATGATTGAAGGACCTACAGAGGTACTACTATATACAAAATAATTATGTTACTCAAACAGGCTGAAATTAGCATAACAACCAACCCAAGTATAGCCTGGCCACAAACTATACAAGATAGCAATACACCACTAGAACCTATACTATCTAAAAATAGCAAATATAAAGTATTTAAACAACAGCTTCGCAACAAGCACATTCTCTATTTAGAATAGCTTAGCTTAGCAAATAATGTCTACTTGCTGGAATAGCAATATATCTTTTCCAGACTCCAACACTTTCCTAAAGGAAAAAAGCCATATTGGTTCTGTTTCCTGGAAGACACAATTATTAGCAACTTACAGCTTCATACACAATTTACTTACAATATCAACTATTAGGTACAAATCTATTTGCCTATCAATCAAATACTATTTCTAAAAAACTAAAACCATGAATACTCACATACCAACATAACGAAATCATTATTGGTCAAGTTAGAAAAAAGCTCAAACAAACTAACACTACCTCTATTATACATTGGCAACACAATATAAATATACAACAGTATCTACCTTACCCTTTACTATCTATAACATGTACTTCATACCCCGGCTATAATTTTAACTCTAATGAAAGAAAAACAACCAACAAGCAGGTCAAACTAAATGCAAACTATATTAACTTAATATACTCTATAGCAATCAAACACCCTATTATTATTTCACCACTATCTAACATCAATATTACAGACTTTCTAGCTCCAGTTCTTTTCCATACTAGTGAAGCCTGCCTAAGACTATTACAATACTTTCTTACTAATAATAGCACACAAATATTCACTTTTTATACAAATGGCTCAGTATAGAATATAGTTACTAGTAACTGCTTAATGGAAATAGGTTGGGTGCAACTAGATAACGACCAAATTATTAATTAATTTTCAGCCAAAATTTTCAACTGGCCCTCCTCATACAAGGCCGAGCTATCTCTACAGTACCTCGTAATGCCAGAGTTGATATATATACTGATTCCCAGTCAATCATATCCAAATATAATAAACTTCTATGCACCTTTATCAAATCCTCTAAATACTTAAATTCAACTACTGGTCTATATGGTATATACTCCTTAATACTATCAAGGTTTTCAATATCCAGCTCTCTTTTTATAAAGTTTAGGTACATGTAAACAACTCATTAACAACTTGGCTAACTCTTTAGCTAAGAAGCATCAAGAACTATCAACTCATATCTTTCAATTTAACCATAACAACATACACAACCCCAACTTTATTATTTAGTGGAAAGAACAATTTATAGAAAAACCTAGTTAAAAATATTAACAGAGCATACACAATAGCAATGTGATCTTTACAAAAACACAATGCTAAATAGGAAAGCCATACCCAAACAATTGACTGGGGCTCAACTTGGCTCTATCTCAATGATAATTCAAAAGCCATATCTAATATTACATCTCCCAAACTAAACTAGATGAAAGCATTTAGAGTTAAAAACTTGCTCAATGAACTGCTAATATACTACCACTTCCACAGTATTATGTCTAAAATATTTCTAGCCAATATCTGCTTTGCTTACAATACTCCAGACTCAGCTATGCATTGGCTTATCTGCCACAACCCACAAATGATTAACCAAATCATTTACTTCTCAATCTTGAAAATGATTACCAAACACCTTAGCGACCAGACTCTAATACAGCAGAGAGTAATAATAAACCTTATCGAATCTTATATCTTCTTTAACAATATTCTTCCTTCTAATTCCCAAGCATATGCACTACCTACTACTATAAAAGAACTTATTTCATTCCACTTGCTACAAGCATTACAAGCAGTCAGTTTTAACACAAAAAGGTAGCAAATATCATAATTTGGATACTTTTACATATATCTACAGAGACCTATGAGCAAATCTGAAAGCCATATTGTAAAAGACTCACAAAATAGAAAAAGCAGCACAATATACAAACCTCTAACCAAACTAAACAGATCATATATAAACAAGTACAAAGCCAACAGAAAAAACCTCAAAGATTTACTTATAGCTGCCTGTGTGGCTTACCAGATCAACAGCATAATAACAATAACTGCCCTCCTGAAAGGCAGATACAAATTCAACCAATGGTCAACAGCATGAATACAATTTAGCATTCCTACAAATTATATACTAATTATTAAAACCTAGTATTACAATACTATAGTCTTCTAAGTACCAATATAGTATAGTAACAAGGTCACCTGGTGTAGTAATATACTTTATAAATATATATGGGGTGGAAGTGAAGGGTTGGATTACTTCACTAGCAAGAGGCAGATGATTTTTTTTTTTTTAATATTAAGGTGACCACTTAGGCCCCTGGCAC